CCAAATAATTTGTGTGCTAGGAGATATGACCCTCCAAAGTAGACCCTCGAAAAAGGCTTCACTTGGAAATTTTGGATTTTGATACGGTTGCTCTAAAATTTGGGTTAGACCCATTTCCCACTCAATTTGACCCCCTAAACAAGAATATGAAGTCGGATTTTCGAAAAACGAAACGGATTTTGAGATATATGGAAATTACAATTATAGGTGTTTCCGAAGCACATTTTCGGGCATTTTTGGGGTCGTTTCATTTAGAGTTTAGGTATTCGGGTTTAGCGTTTTGGGTTTAGGTCTAGGTTTTAGAGTTTAGAGTTTAGGTATTCGGGTTTAGGGTTTAAGGTTTAGTATTTATGGTTTAGGATTTATGATTTTGGGTTTAGCTTTTTGGGTTTAGGGTTTAGAGTTTAGAATTTAGGGTATGGGGTTTAGGATTTAGGGTTTAGAGTTTAGAGTTTAGAGTTCGGGTTTAGGTTTTATGGTTTCAGCTTTAGGGTATAGGATTTATAGTTTATGGTTGATGGTTTAGGGTTTAGAGTTTAGGGTTTAGGTTTTAGGGTTTAGGGTTTAGGGTGTAGGGTTTATGGTTTAGGGATTAGGGTTTGGGTTTATGGTTAGGGTTTATGGTTTAGAATTTAAGAATTGGAGTTTAGGGTTTAGGGATTAGGGTTTATCATTTAGGTTTTCAGTTTTAGGGTTTACTGGTTATAGTTTAGGGTTTTGGGTTTAGGATTAAGGGTTAGAGTTTGGGATTTAGGGTTTCGGTTCTAGGGTTTTGGGTTTAGTGTTTTGGATTTAGGGTTTAGGATATAGGGTTTAGGGTTAAGCTTTTATGTTTACAAATTAGCGTTTAGAATTTACGATTTTTGGTTTAGGATTTACGGATTACGATTTAGAATTTAGGATTTTGGGTTTAGGGTTTAGGGTTTATAGTTTGGATTTAAGGATCAGAGTCTAGGGTTTACGGTTTAGGGTTTAAGGTTTAGGTTTAGGATTTAGGATTTAGGGTTTCGGTTTTGGGTGTTGGGTTTGGGATTTGATGTTTAGTGTTTTGGGTTTAGGGTTTAAGGTTTAGGGTTTTAGGGTTTAGGGTTTAGGGTTTTGGATTTATGATTTAAAATTTATGGTTTAGAGTTAAGGTTTAGGGTTTTTGGTTAAGTGTTTAAGGTTTAGCGTTTACGGTTGAGCTTTTAGGGTTTATGGGTTTAGGATTTAGAGGTTAGGGTTTAGTTGTTAGGATTTAGGGTTTTAAGGTTTAGGGGTTTTTTTTTTTTTTTATTTGAACGACCCTTGGGGGGTTTAGGGGCTTAGCAACACCCCAAGGCTTAACATAAATAAAAACTCAAAAAAGTACATGGAGGGGGACAAAAACCTAACCTCTGACCCTATGGTGGTTCATAAGTCGACCTACCTACTAAGGTTAGTCAACTCATCCCCATACTAGAAAGGAAAAACCTAGAATTATGCACCTAGGGAGAGGACTCCTCTCAATACAAAGATTCTAGGAAAACATAAATAATGGAGACTCTCCCCTTACAAAGGAAAGAATAAAGCAACAAGAACCTATTCAAGAGGGCTATATTTAAATAAGACATAGTCTACTTGAAAAGGAATTGAGAAAACACATAAGCGGACTAATCAAGGGGGGTTTTTTAATCCTTTTTAACTTCTTCCTTCTGAAACTTTGCACTCCTATATTTTCGAGAATATAGCTACCCCTTACCACATGTGGTAATTGGTTGTGAGTGTAGTAGTGTTGAATGATGTCATTTCTGTGACTTTGTTTGGACAGGAAATCAGCAGTACTGTTGGCCTCTCTGTAAATATGAGCACATTGAAAGAATTCACATTGGCTAACAAGGTTTTGTAATTCCTGTACAAACATTTGGATCCTCCAAGGTGGAGTACAGGTTTGCAATATCCACCTAGTTAAAAGCTCTAAATCCACCTCTACAATAATGTTGTTGTACCCATGTTGAATGCACCAAATCAGACCATAACTGGCAGCTTGGATTTCTGCCTGATTATTGGTCCCTTCACCGAGAGGTATAGCAAATGCATATATGATCTCTCTTTGTTCATCCCGTAGAATACTCCCCCCCCCCTCCAATCCTCCCCGGATTGTGGAAAGCACTACCATCTGTGTTAAGTTTATATCTGTTAGGAGGGGTTGTTTTCCATATCACTGAAGTAACTTTAAGGTCATGTTTGCAGCTCTCGATCAGGTCCATTACTTCTGTCCACTGTACAGGCCAATTGATGCAGGGAAAAACAGTATTGAGCAGGTAGAAAATATCTTGGAGGATCATGTATTTGACTCTACTGCTGTTGGATTTTTTTCCCCCGTATTTAGCTGAGCATATATTCTTCCATAGGTTCCAACAGACCACTATGGGAAGTGTTTCGATGAGAATTTTGTGGTCTTCATTCTTTCCTTGAATATCTCTCCAACTCAATAAATGATTACTCAATGAGGACTGTTGGAAAGTAACTCCCATTGGACCTGAAAATACTTTCCAGATATGAGTGTAAAGGGGCCTTGATTGAAGATATGATCCACATCATCCCATCCTTTTTTAATGCAACAGAAGCACCTCACAGGCTCGACCCCGAAGGTTGCCAATTTTTCATTGGTTGGTAGTTTATTTCTTAATGCTCTCCAAACGAGAAAGGACATCTTGAAAGGGATGTGCTTATGCCAAATCTGTGAATTGGCCACTGCATTATTCTTCCTAAGTCTGCAAATTTCCCAGGCTGAAGCACAGGAGAAATTTCCAGAATCGTTAGGCTTCCAGACTGCAGTGTCTTTCACTCCTTGTTGGTAATGAAACTTAGTGCTCAAAATATAGGGAATGAGCAGTGGTGGAACCTGCTGCCTCAGCTTTCTTTCATTCCATTCTCCATTGACAAGAAAGTGCGCAATAGTGGCATTATTAAGGCTTGAAATATTGTTGGTATAATTAGCAAGCGCACCTCCTCCCAACCAATCATCCCACCAAAAGGAGCAACTTCCAGAATTAATTTTCCAAGTGATATGATCCTCCACTTTGTTCTTATGCTTCATCATATATCTCCACACTAGAGATTGGCCTGTGTCCACCTTCTTTGCAACTGGATTGGCTCTCTGGCAATATTTGGACTTGAGGAAATGATCCCATATTGAAGATTTAGCCCTGAAGTTCCACCATTGCTTATATTGAAGAGAAGTACAAATATATGTGAGTCTTCTGATCCCCACACCTCCTTCATCATAAGGCAAGCTCATGGTTTCAAGTGATGCCTAATGGTCTTTCCTTTGATCCTGGTCTCTGCCCCAGAAAAAGTCTGCAATAAGGGACTTGATGTATTTAATAGTAGTACTGGGAAGTGAGATTGCAGCCATAGTGTGAATAGGAATGGATTGCAAAGCATGCTTGACAAGAGTGATTTTCCCCCCAAAGCTTAGTATCTTTGCTTGCCATCCACAAATCTTCTTGGATACTTTCTCAACCAGCTGTGAGTAATGGATGATCCTCTGTCTACCAATGTATAGAGGGCATCCAAGATATGTGATTGGGCTGTCCTTCTGTGAGAAACATGTGACCTCCTGTATGCTGTTGATGATATCTTGGGAGGTGTTGGATGGAACCATAAAGTGACTTTTCTCTTTGTTGATAAGCTGATCAGAGGTGTGTTCATATTCCTCTAAGGTGTCCATGATGAGTCTCATAGATTGTCTGTCTGTTGAAGTAAAAATAATCACATTGTCTGCAAAACTTAAGTGATTGATCCGAGGGCCTTTGGGCACCATGTTAAAACCTCTATACATTGGATTCTGCTGAGTCATGTTAAGCATTCTTGATAAAACCTCCGCACCTAAAATAAATAGGGCCGGAGATAGAGGATCACCTTGTTTGAGGCCTCTAGTTGAGTGGAAAAAACCATGTCTGTGACCATTAATAATGATTGAATACCAATTGTTACTCATGATTCTCCACACTAGGTCAATGAAGAATTCCCCAAAACCCAATCTCCTCAGCACCAAACAAGTAAAGGACCAAGACACTCTGTCGTATGCTTTGGTCATGTTTAATTTGATTACAACATTGTCTCCCTCTTTAGGCCTCTTGATGCCATGAGAGATTTCTTGTGCTAGCATGATACTTTCTATGATGCTACTCCCTCTTACAAACCCTGATTGATTGTCTGAGATGAGCAGAGAGATGATATCAGCCAGTCTCATGCTTAGGAGTTTGGAAATGATCTTGTTTGAGAAGTTACTGAGACTAATAGGCCTGAGATCAGAAAAATTGTTAGGCTGCTCATTTTTGGGAGGCAAAACCAAGCATGCATGTGACATGAACTTGGGCATAATGTGACCACAAAAAAGGACTGTACAGCAGCTAGCAGATCCTCTTTAATGATGTTCCAGCATGCTTGATAGAACTTACCCCCCATATCATCCGGACTAGGTGTTGAGTTTGGGTTCATGGCGAACACTACTTGATTTAGTTCATCCAAAGTAGGCATTTCCTGCAATTTCTGATTCTGCTCAGGAGTAACTAGAGTAGGCAAGTGTTGAAGAATGCTTTCATCAATTCTGCTGTTCTGACCAGTAAATATTCCTTGGAAATATTCACAAGCTGCTTCTGCAATCTGAGCATCACCTTGAATCCACACATCATTGCTTGTACAAATTTTATGTAGAAAAAGTCTTCTTCTTCTTCACCTCATCAAAGCATGGAAATATTTGGTGTTGGCATCCCCTTCCTTAAACCATTGGAGTTGAGTCTTTTGTTTAAGAATAGACTCCTCCAACTTCAAATATCTGATATAGTTGGCATTCAGGGAATCTAACTGCTGTCTAAGAGTGTCTGTGTTATGTGTAAGATGTTCCTCCTCAGTTTTCCTGATAGTCTCTTCAAATTATTTTACTTTAGCATATATATCTCCATACTCTTTCTTTGACCAGTTGCTAAGAGTGGATGTTAACCTCTTCATTTTCTGATGAAGTAGCCATATAGGATTACCAGTGACCTCTCTCTCCCAACACTTTCGTACAGTTTCCATAAAATTAGTATTATCCACCCAACAATGTATGAACTTAAAATACTTGGTGTAGTTCTCATTTTTTCGGACCATTTCCATCAACAGGGGGCTGTGGTCTGAGCCAACAGAAGGTAGATGTTCAATAGTAGTTTGCGGCATAACCTCTAGCCATTTGTCATTGACCATGGACCTGTCCAGCCTCTTCCAAACTCTAGCCTGTGCAGTTCTTTGGTTGCACCAAGTGAAAGGTATCCCTGTAAAGCCTAGATCACTTAAGTCACAAGTTTCAATCACACTGATGAACTCAAAACTCTTATTCATATTGGGGTTTAGCATTTGGGATTTAGGGTTTAGGGTTAGGGTTTAGGGTTTATGGTTTCGAGTTTAGGGTTTATAGGTTTAGGGTTTAGGGTTTAGGGTTTAGTACATTAGGTTTAAGGTTTCAGATTTAGGATTTAGGGTTTAAGGTTTAGGGTTTAGAGTTTAGGATTTAGGATTTAGGGTTTAGGGTTAGGATCTAGGTTATTATGGTTTAGGGTTTAGGCTTTTAGGATTTTAGGGTTTAGGGTTTTATGGTTTAGGGTTTATAGTTTAGGGTTTTGTCTTTCGGGTTTAGTGTTTACGGTTTAGGATTTAGAATTTAAGGTTTAGAGTTTAAAATTTAGGGTTTATGGTTTAGGGTTTAGGGTTTAGGGGTGAGGAAGACAGGAAAGTAAGAAGAAAAAGAACGGAACCCCTTGTAACTCACTTCACTATTTACTTAATGACTCAAAAATCAAGTTGATCAAATTTCACAATTTTTCAACTTAACAATTAGGGTTTAGGTCAAGCATTCGGCAAACAAACGGAAACGGGGTTAGGAGAAAAGTCACAATGACCACAAATAGAACTCAACCTAAGCGAGTATGACATGATCCGAAATGTTTAACAATTGTCATAATTAAACAAACATATACGAGATAAAGATAGTAGGATGAAATTTAGCTATCAAATCGGCTTATCAATGTTCGGAGCTAGAATACCAAACAAACAATGAATCTTTGCGATCAAATGAAAAACCGTAAGAAAAGGGACTGAAGACACAACAACTCGATCACTTTCCGCGTTAAAATTAAGCTAAGGTATGCCACTTATGTTAACCACAATATTGCAAATCAGCTAATGCAGGGAAACATGGGTCGCAACAACATTTTAATCATGAAAGATTTCGGAAATTGATAAGCTTAAAATGTAAGAAACCAATTTGAACAAATGGGTTTAATATGTTTAAGACTTATACTACCTATAATCAACTATCCCTATAATCTGAAGCATAAACAAATCAACAGAGGAAAATATGTTTTGAGCATACACGAGATAAGAACGAGAGTCGCTTAATTGCGTAAACGAGCAGCCACATTCCACAAACTAAAAATAAGAGCGCCTTCAAACTTACAAATACAACTTAAATATACTAATCACAAAGACGCAACACCAAAGGGAGGAGCCAAGTTCTTAATCATAGATATTCTAGACATAAATCTCATACACAAACAAGTTCTATGCCTCAGTTAACTAGAATACTGACTCAAACCCGAACGACCGGGCATTAGACACCAAAATAACTAAGCACAGAGACATTCGAGCAAAAAAAAAGAATCTACAGAAAGTTCAGTTCATGAACGGAACATCCAGTACGGGTTAATGATCAAGAAGGAGTTTACCTTCCCGAAGGTAGCGACCTGAAGACGAAACGAGATAGAAGCGACACTTCCACCACGAAACTCGAACACGAACGACAACCCCAAAGTCTGGGCAGCAGTATTAAACTTAGACACCGAAACCAATTATCTCCTTTGTTTTCTTGAGGCGTATTTCGTATGAATTTTAACTGTTCTTGTTTAGCTTAGCTCTATATTTTCTCTCCCAAAAATCCCACAAAATCTTCTTATCCTCCTCCTCTTTTTGATACTGAAACAATAAAGTCTTATATAGAAAGGAGCTAGGGTTCGACTTTGAGGGGGGAAAGGGCTGAAATTCGAATGGAAAGGGCCTAATTCGAAATTCAAATCCTCAAAAATCTTACACCATTAAGGGAAAACAAGCTTATTTCTGAAATTTCAACTCCATTCCGAAAAAGGAATGGAGTATGGATGGCTGGATCGATTCCCATCGTCCTTGGAGCTCAACGTGGCCTCATCCCACAACCTGAAGGACGACAATAGTATCTGGAAACACGGAAAAGTTGTACAAAAAATGTACCAGCCTGCTGAAGGAGACGTTGGGGTCATATTTCCATCTATCGCCGTGTCCTCTACATGAACTCACCACCGTCTGAGGGATGTGAGGCGCGTATGGCATTGGTGGTGTCGTTCTCGCATCTGCCATTTGCCAGCCGTGTATTGCTCTGTTTTGGGCGTCATTTTCTGTAGTTTACACTACTGGTGGGTTATTCTTTGTTGAACAAGAAGTGGGCTGAGTCGGGAACAGGGAATTGGGTTGAGTGATATTGTTTTGGGAATTTAAGAATGGGCTGGACGGTTGTTGTTGTTGATTATTAGTGTAATGGGTGTATAGAAGGAGTGGGCCGGCTGGGAAAAGGAAAGAGGGCCCAAAATGATCTTGCAACAGGTTTAACGTTTTGGCAAGGAATGGATTGGATTAAGAATTGGCCAAATGATTTGCAGAATTAGCCAATTGAATTTATAATGTAACCAAATTGAATTTGATTAGCAAATTCGGCCAATGTTAAAATAAAATGAGTTGACATTAATTAATTAACGAGTTTCTTAGTTTTGACAAGATAAAATAACTGACTTAATTATAAACTGATTAATTCAAAAGTGTAAACTATTATATAACTAAACCAATTAGTAAAATATTTGAGTGAAATAAAATCTTTTTAATGTGATTTTCGAATATTTATAAAATGTATTAACCATATATATAAAGAATATGTAAAATATAAGTATTGTCTAAAAATTATAATAAGTGACATAACTTATTTAAAATAACTTGCAAACTATTTTTTTGAAATTTATAAAACCAATTGTTTTAAATCATTTGAAATCTAAGAAGCTCGAAAATTAATCGTTATCGGGGAGGGTCAAAATTGGGTGTCAACAACTGTCCCTCATTTTACTCGGATTGATGCCAGAAATTCGAGGAAAATGAAATTGACAAATCCAATTTTGACCGACCACACCTTCATCCAAAGAAAAAGGGACTTGGTACAGACTTTAGGAATTATGGCCGAAC